CCCACGGTGGATTTGAACCCACCAGCTCCAGTGTATATGGCTAGTGCCCTAGCCGCTTGAGCCACAGGCACCGAGCCAGGAAAGAGTTTTTAAGGGTAGTTTTTTTTTGTTTGTTTTTGTTTTTGTTTTTGTTTTTTGCAGTTTTTGGCTGAGGCTGGGCTTGAACCCACCACGTCCAGCATATGGGGCCGGTACCTTACTCCTTTGAGGTGCCGCCCTAAGGGTAGTTGTTTTTATTTTGCCTACTTCTCTTGGCCCTCCAATTTTGAGTTCTCCATGGTCCAGAAAAGTTACTTAGGTTTAAAACTAATTATCTTTCTGCATTGGTCTTGTGCCTATTTGCAAGAAAAGGAAAAAAAAAAACTAAATATCTTTTATGTAGAAGCACTATTCTTAGATTTCTGGGATTGCTTTATTTGTCTTTTACATTGTTAAAAGATTTGCTAATGCTGCAAATCAGTCCCTTAATTTAAGAATAAAGTATATTCTGTCTTCAGTAAGGAAAAAAAAAGAATAAAGTGCATGATTATGGCGATTCTAAGGAAGCAGATATCCTCTAATTTCCCCCTTTACTGAACAAAATCCTCTTACATTGAGAAATACACATTGATGAAAAAACCCCTTTATGATAACCTTATTCCACATTTGATTTCAGTATACATAAAACCTTATCCTCCTGAATACCTCTGTGTAGTGTGTCTCTCTTAAAATAACATGGAAAATATGTAATGTGGGTTGTGAGGATGACAGGATTGGGAAGAAAGAGTCCTGTGGAAGTCTTTTCCTATTTAACCAAAGGAGATGTACAGTGATATTCAAATTGTGAAGCACTGCTGCCTGTTTGCACAATAAATTAGTATCTGAAATTTTTCATTTAATCTAAATAGTTCATAATCTAAGATTGTCAGTGAACTGTGTTTGGCAAGGTATTTACTCACTAGCTGATGTCTCTCTTATTTTCATGGGACTTTTAGGATTCTATAAAAATAGGGCCTTTCTTAACACCTCAGCAAGTAGCTATGTTGTATGCTATGATATTAACAGTCTGGGTAAGAGAAGTTCCTATTTTTGCTCTTCATGTATTCAGGACACATGCTGAACAGGAAGTCTGAGAGCAGTAGAGCTGGATTGTTTATGTGAGGTAGCTATCAGTGTTCTCACTTTTCACAGTTATCTGAATTACAAAAATAAGCTTACATTATGGTTTTTAAATGATCTAGTATATTTAATTCAAAGTTTGAGGAACTTGTTTATCATATAGTTTGACTTTAAACCAGACAGGATGTTAAAAATCACCTAGTTTCAAACTGTCAACATACTGATAGCAAACTGACAGTTACATTAGAGTTAATCCTGTAATGGTTGAAATTTCTTATTTTACATTTTTGAACAAACTTCTAAATTGTTTAGTTAGCTGTTTTGAAAGAAAGGCTACCTTATATGAAAGTTCTATCTTTATAAATGTTTGAAATAATCTAGCATAAAGCCCAAATGGCTTTTTTTTTTTTTTTTGAGACAGACTCTCACTATGTCACCCTCGGTAGAGTGCTGCGCCATCACAGCTCACAGCAACCTCAAACTCTTGGGCTTAAGCGATTCTCTTGCCTCAACCTCCCAACTAGCTGGGACTATAGGCACCCACCACTACACCTGGCTATTTTTTGTTCAAGTTGTCATTGTTGTTTAGCTGCTCCAGGCCAGGTTCGAACCCACCACCCTCAGTGCATGTGGCTGGCGCTCCAACCACTGTGCTACACTACGGGCACCGAGCCCCAAATGGCTTTTTTATCTTGAGACTTTTTTAAAGTATCTTTGTTATGTGTTGAAAACACGAGTACCTTCCTTCGCTTAACTCGTTTTGTTTTTTTTTTTTTTTGAGACAGAGCCTCAAGCTATCCCCCTTGGTAGAGTGCCATGGCATCACGCTCACAGCAACCTCCAACTCCTGGGCTCAAGCGAGTCTCCTGCCTCAGCCTCCCAAGTAGCTGGGACTACAGGCGCCCGCCACAACGCCTGGCCATTTTTTGGTTGCAGCCATCATTGTTGTTTGGTGGGCCCGGGCTGGGGATGCGAACCCGCCACCTTAGGTGTATGTGGCTGGCACCTTAGCCGCTTGAGCCACAGGCGCCGAGCCCGCTTAACTCGTTTTAATCCTCTTGTCTGTCAATTATTAATAGTATTGCTCTGCTCTGGAGGCAGGCTTATATTTCCAGAGTGGGTAATGAAAAACAATGTTGGAAACTAGGAAAAGACTTAATAATGGAAGGCTGATGCTTTTCTAATGTCAGTTTTGATTGACAGTCCTGTTCATCTGCTGGGCCTCAGCTGCTTGCTGGGGGCAGGTGTGGTTACTTCTATTTGCTTAAACATCTCTCGAAACTTAGTTATCTCACATACCATCCCTTTGGCTTGGAATCACTATTTCACTCCTCCCTTGTATGTAATGTTCCTACCCTACATTAAATTTGCTCAAGATTCACCACCTACATGGAGCCTTTTAATTAACCCTTTCATCTCCATTAGTCTTCACTTATTCTTAAAAAGACCGTATATGGGCTTGGTGCCTGTAGCTCAGTGAGTAAGATACCAGCCACATACACCAAAGCTGGCAGATTCAAGCCTGGCCTGGGCCTCCTAAACAACAGTCACAACTGCAACCAAAAAATAACTTGGCACTGTGGCAGATGCCTATAGTCCCAGCTACTTGGGAGGCTAAGGCAGTAGAATCACTTAACCCCAAAAGTTTGAGGTTGCTGTGACACCATGGCACTCTACTGAGGGTGACATAATGAGACTGTCTTAAAAAAAAAAAAAAGATAGTATATAAAAATTAATTCTTCTGTGGGGGAAGGGAGTTGAAATGCAAATTTCTACATCTTACTCCCAGAGATTATGATCCATTAGGTAAGTAAAGAGCATTGGATTTTCCTAGAGAAAGTTCCCCAGAGATTAACCCCCACCCTTTTTTGAGATAGAGTCTTACTGGCATCAGCCTAGCTCATAGCAACCGCAAACTCCTGGGGTCAAGCATTTCTCCTGCCTTAGTCTCCCAAGTAACTGGGACCACAGGTGCCTGCCACAATGCTCAGCTAACTTTTCTATTTTGGGTAGAGAGTGGTCTTGCTTTTGCTCAGGCTGGTCTTAAACTCTGGAGTTCAAGCCTTCCTCTTGCATCAGCCTCCCAGAATGGTAAAATTACAGGTGTAAGCCACCAGGCCCAACCTCAGAGATTTGTGTTTTAAACAAGGTGATGATTGAAGTAAAATGCTGATTTATCACCCAATAAAATAATCAGATAAACAGAGCTTTGGGGGGGGGGGAACACAAAAGATGTCTATCAAAATACTTTATTATAGATAATAGAAGATATCTGTGAGGTCACGAAATGGTAAAAGGAGAAAAGGCAAGAAGTACGGGCTTGGTGGCTTACGCTGTAATCCTAGCACTCTGGGAGACCAGGACAAGTGGAACCTAAGCTCACAGGTTTGAGACCAGCCTGCCCCAGAGCAAAACCCTGTCTCTAAAAATAGCCGGGCATTGTGGTGGGCACCTGTAGTCCCAACTACTTGGGAGGCTGAGGCAAGAGAATTGCTAGAACTCAAGAGTTTGAGGTTGCCATGAGCTGTGTGACACCACAGCACTCTACCTAGGGCTGGCAACAAAGTGACACAGTCTCAAACAAAAAAACAAAGGCAAGAAGTAAGTTATAGGCTCAGCGCCCATAGC